TGAATGAAAATAGATGAACTACAAGAATATCATTGCGTCTATTCAAATAATTACAGTTTAAATCATTAATACATGCAATACATATTAATAGAGACAGCTAGAAATTAAATGTAACATCAGAAAATTAAGTTTGCACAGATTCTATAATCGACTTTGTTGTCATTGACCTTAGTCTGTTAAATTTGAAAAAATTACTAATAAGAAAAATATGTAGGATCAATCTTTGACGAATCATCTGGGCGGATAAAGAAACTCAGAAACATCTGGAGAATAATGATTGTAAGTTCCATTTGACAATGTTAGTAACGGAAAATGATAAAATCTGTCAAACTCACGTAAATGAGGCCGGAGTAGTATCTGTCTTTGAGGTTATGCAGTACGGAGGCTTCGTTTAAGCACGTTAACTCAGCCATATCTTCAACTTTGTCGAATTTGGGTGGATTCATCTTCTGAATATCATCTTTAGCGACAAGTACCCGTTTTCCAGTTTCAGCGATTTCCACCTCGACCTCGTCACCCCGTTCACCCTTTATCCCGGCCGCGACGAAACCCTGGGTTTCGTGCGGCACCCAAACCAACTTTTTCTGCGTCCATTCCGCCTGAGTCGCGGGATCATTGAAATTATTCCTATCGACGGACAGGAACCGTAATTCGGGATCCGAATGATCCACCCTCGAGTCAACGTCCGCCATTTTTGTTTTCGAGATCACTAGCTCCTCGAGCCGGCTTCAGGGACGAGCGATTCCAAGGACGATCCTTGAGAGACTGAGTTTTTCGTGACAAGGGCACACATGTAACTGTTCAACACTCGATTTCCCGTCGTTTTCGACCGTTCCGTTGCCCGGTGCTGATTAAAAGTTAATCCGATGTCCGGAGAGTATTCAAGATTCGTGGTTCGTTCTCCGTCGAGGCACCGTGTTCTTCTACCACCTTTAACGCTCTTCGAGATTGTTTTCTTTCTCGCACCTCGCGGCCATCTTCCTTGCTCCTTACATTCAGAACAATGGTGGGGACCAGTGTTCAAAGGTATGCACCGTAGCGGCGCTCGCGTCACCACATGACGCATTTCAATAGAAATTTCATTGGTCGAAAGGTTAGGGCATTGAACAAATTAACCAATTGAAAATGTTTCGCGGCGAACAAGGGCACTGTTGTTAAATTATAGCCAAGAAATTCTTACTATCATTTGTTTATATCGTGCTTTTAAGCAGTATACACGCTCCATGATTTTTCATTGCAACCGTCAGCTTATCATTAGAAGATTAAAACGTACTTAGAAGATACAAGCATGTACGTGCAGAAAGATTATTCCCCTTTTCGTCAATCATCCTGTGGTTAGTAAGCCTCCTTATTATTTCCAACATTATTGCCATGTTCAGTATGAATTGCGTTTTTATTGTATGTAACACCTGTACTGCACAAACGACGTACAAAGTGAACCAAATATTTGATCAAATCCTTTTGCTTTCTCTGTTGTTCTGCCAGCGAGATTCGAAGCGAATATAAACGATATTCGAATATTCGTGTTAGCGATTTAGTATAGAACAAAGTAATGTATTATGTTTCTCTTTGTTTCTCGATATTTTATACCATTAAAATACAATTGAAAAGCGAAATCAGGTTCAGATTCTTGAACAAACTATTTAAAAACCTAAATTTCGTACAAAAAACATTAGAAGATGTTCCTTATACCCATCATTTGCTTTAACCCGTTTTATAAACGAATACAGTGACCGAAAAATTAGGCATCTTATTACGTTTTTTGAATTCACTGGCAGCTGCCGGTTTAACGACCGTTTGATGATAAGTTTCATGAAAAGAGGACGCTCGAATCAGCTTTTATTTTTCGTGTCGATCTGTCGGGTGAACATCATGTCCATAAAGTGAAAGTTCTATTCGCATATTTTGCCTGTGATGTAGCAACTTTATTTTCCTGAATTAGAAATGTACATAAAAAACGTCCTATTCTATTTCAACAATTAAATATAATTATTCCTCGCATTTTAACAACACGGATTTATAATTCTACCGTCAGTCTATAATTGGTATTTGGTATCTGTTTCTAGAACTCGTCGAAAGATGCCGCTCCCTGTGACAGTTACGGTGAAGGCAGTGCATACTTTCGGACGTGAAGATTCTACGACACAAAATAAGTGTAACCGAGGAAAACAACTTGTCAAGGTAATTTCTTATAATATTTACATTAGAAATTAAGTTTATTTATTACAATGAAGAGATTTCTTGGCTACATTACGAAAAGAGACTGACAATGAGATTCCCGCACTCTTTCATTGTATACTTATTCATGTGCATGTTCTTTATGCATATTACCTTGAATAGAATTAGCTACTTGATAAATAACAGTACCTACTTAGCGATAGAAATTGTTTAACATGAATATTGCATGCAAAATTTACATGGCCAAGTTATTTCTGTACTTTTACCACTTTATTGAATAATTCTTATTGAGCAGTACATCTTGTTGATCTCATATGATTTGAAAATGATCGCTGTGTTTCGCTGCGAATATCGTATATCCTTGAGATATCTAATCGATCGTACTGTTAGAAAAACATTTTTAAAAAAGCACAAGTAAAAGAATTTCATGTCCTTCTGTCACGACACGGAAATCACGGTTCTAGCTGTCGCGTCAAGGTGAATCGGCGTTGCTACCCGATGCGTATATGAATCCTGAGGCGGATTTCAATCGTCAGCGATTGAAAAAAAATGCATACACGCATCTTTCTCGATTGCGATCAAGGTCTCGAAAAACCTTCGATCGATTCTCAGAGATACTTGACGTTCAACCATTTAAAATATTTCTTGGGTAATGAAATGAATAGATTCTATGATCCGATGCTACTAATAATAATTTTAAATGTTAATATGTGTTGCATATATTTGTGCAGTTTTATCTTCATGTGCTTGGCATTTAATACATTTATGTGCAAGTGGGTAAATGTATCTGCCACATTTAAATCTTAGTTACTGTGGTGATGATCACTTCTTCGCTTGAAAATTCAAATGGTGACTCAGTTTTTTAACATAAAGTGCTTGATAGATGCTCGTTTGGATTCGTTTGAATAATGTACCGTACGGTAAGTGCGAGATACATATTTTTACAATCGACCTAACGGGTAAAATGAAATATTCATTGCATTAGGAAGTAATATAGTATAAATTATTCTGAGAATAAACGTCCTATTCGGTTTTTCTCTATTTTATTATTTGCGCTGTGATGCATAAAACGAGGGATACAATTTCGTTGGAACTTTTCGATTCACCTCAGGCCACTTCCGTGGTCGTAGACGCAAATGTAAATGACATTTTCCTTAAATGATCACGCGAGAGACCATTCGTACTGTTTTGCACACACGGAACACGCGTGTACACGCACTCGGCGTGGCGGCGCGCCGCGTTTAAATTCAAACCGCTCAATGGTCAATAAAAGTTTATTCCTACATGCGTGGCAATGAAAATTTATCGCATGGCTGTGATATCATGCGAAACGAAACGCAGGTGCGCCGGATCGTAGCCGCGAATTCACTTGCGGTTTCTACAAAAACATAGAAAATACGTGCCCCTTTCACGCGCTAAATCGTGTTCCTCAGATCTTTTTCCCTGCGCGACCCAACGATATTTTCAACGTCATTACATCACCATTTACATTCCGGTGATCGTTATTCTTGAATTAATCGAGTACGTTTTCTATTTGATAAAATACTTCGAGAAATAAAATAAATGAATCTATAATATAATCTAATTTGCGTAGTGGAATATTGTTGACGTTATGATCTTTCAAGATTGGTAAATAGCACGGAGATAGGAATTAAGAGATTGTCTCCAATTACTGAAAATAATGATTTTACGCCGCGGAGCTTCCTCGAAAAGCTTCGAACGGAAATTACGCTTTGCAAGTACGTAGTGTTATCGTGTCCTGAGAAAAAATGACCACTGATAAGAACACACGTGTTCGAAAGACGAAACGATCGCTCCCTCGAGTTGTATTAATGCCACACAATCGAGGAATGTCGCCTCCGTGAGTGCACAAGTACCTAAAGCTCGCGAATACTTGAAAATCATTATATTCCGTATCGTTTCATAAATTCTCATCGCCTTTACGATGTTAATAACTGTACACCGTTCGATTAGTTGTTATTTTTATAGAGAAATCGAGAATTTAAATTGCTAGAGGCATTACGCGCATCTGACGTGGTTTCGCAGCCACTCCATTCGATTAAATCAGTTCTTGTGCATCGTCGTTTTGCTCAGCATTCGACTATTTGCAGTTTAATTATAGCGAGTAATAAAATCAAAAGATTAATGGTTTTAGTAATGGTTGCCTCGTGGATAATGTATAAAAATGAATTCTCGTTAAGATTCAACAATCTGTTAAATTCCCATAAAGAAAGGATGCAAAAGAAAAAGCGTGTTTTTCCTTGAGGCTAACCGAAGAGAATTTGCAATCCCAGAGCCATGTCGCATCAAGTACATTAGTACTTAATTATCCAAGCTTATCTTCCAAGCTTACACGATATTATCGTGACTTGATCATTTGATTTCTTTCTTGTCTAGACGTAATATCGAACCATCTGCACGGTGTTTTACCAGCCAAACGTATTTACGCGTACCATGCGACTTTTAAAAAATGTCGATTAAATGTTGATTATAGGGAATATTAAAGTAAAAGATGTGATAAGCAAAAATCGTGGATTTCTTAAAAAAGTATAAGCGCTTATCTATGACTTGTTTAACTTAATTACTGTGTTTGTTGTCAATATTAATTTCCTGTTTCGAATTATATTAAATAATAGTATTAATGACTGAAATTGAACCAGAACCTTGCATGATGAATTTAGAAAACTCTATCATTTAGAGAATGTTTGTTTCGTAACGTATAATGACGAAATCTGTACGTAATCAAAAGTACTTAGATTTGTTGGAAATGTAAGATAAACAGGTTACGATTATCAGTACAAAATGGGTACGAATTACACATACTGTTGCCTGATAGTGAACCATTCGAATCGTACTCAGTTATCAGTACAAGCATCAAAATACACATTAATTTCATTTTTATGATCCCAGCGATTGCGATCAATAACACCTGGGAGATCATCGACGAATACTGATCATTCCCGCTAAATAATACCCGCATGTGTTGATACGTGATATCGAAATTACTTGAGCGCACTATGTATTTATCTTGAAAGCCAACTTTTTTTCGAGTACGAACTCATTAACAAAATTTGTTAAATTCAACTAACGTCCATCTGAAACCACGATTATCCGCAGTTGTTGTGAAGCGCGTAAAATGGATTGAGATATCGCGTCGACCCAGTATGCAAATTCTAGTGACTGCGCCACAAATCTTATAAGCGCACTGTTATCGCACTTGTTAAACATGTGACAATCCTACAATAAATTAAATCGGTTGAATAGTTGCACCGAATGAGTATCGAAAATTGCTGGGATCCAGTAATAAATTTGATTAATTGCTTTATGTTTCCGACATGTTGAGACGCCAAGTATTACAAATTAGATAGCACTTTTGATACATAATATGATCTCTGAATAACCGCATTTCCAATAATAGTATCCCTTAATGAGTCTGTAATTAAATACGTCGATGGCTTATCGTCGTTGTTTTATAGATAATTTTGAAATTAATATGGAAACGATTAGCACGAGATTAGGTACAGCCACTGATTAAGAGTTACATAATACAAAATATATACAAGCGTGAAATCCCGATTTCGGCGTTTGCTCGATAGGTCGATTCTTCTTATCGCATTAACCACTTCCGTCCACGTGGTATCCTTCGCGCTACCTTAGTTACTCATTTAATTGGACGCATTTTTAGATACTTGATTGCGTTAGTAGTTGACACAATAAATATAAGGACGCGTGAATTTGCATAATGACCTCAGTTAAAGTCACGGTCGCGGCAGAGCAAATGTTGCAAATATCACGCGGAAAAGGTCAGACACGGGA